ACTGAGAGACCTCATGAAAATATTGAAGGACCATAACGTTGTCTAAGGATTTCTTTGAAGTCTTTTCACAGAAAAAGTCAAAATCTGTTTAAGTAATCTGCGTATGTAAGTTCTTTTTATTTATAATTTGATTCGGATAAGACTGTAGATTAACATTTGGTAATCTTTGTCAGGCCTCAGTTAAACCCTGTCTGGAAATAAAAAGTAAAAGAATAAAGACCTGCAAATTGCTTATTTAGTTGGTTAAGCCCTCTCAAGAGGGCAAGTCATTACCATTGCACAGTAAATACAATTTTTCAATATATACTTGCATAGATTGATTTTCTGAATCAGAAAAAGTCAGTTTTGCCTAGAAACTCTTCTTTCTGGGGGCTGGTTGAAAGGATCGTGCAAACTTGTTACATTTCTGAAGGAAGGTCACTGGGCAACTTCTGATGCTGTTACACACCAGTTACTGGATTTTCAACTTAAGTCAGTATTCTTTTCACTCTTAATCCTTCATAAAAAATATTCCTCTTCACTTCTAACAATTACTAAATTCTAACAATATTTAGCCAATTGTTGTGGCTAAATAACTGACTCCAGTAAAAAATATTCCTCTTCACTTCTAACAATTACGGTCAATAGATGTTTGTTGTGGCTAAATAACTGACTCCAGCTGCCTTTTGGGGTAGAAATTTGAAGCAGAAAACCTGTTGGTTTTTTTTTTTTTTCTCTGTCCTCTCTGAGATGTTTGCATGGTCGAAGTGCTCACTGTATGAGGCCAGGCACGTTTTCTGGAGGAATCATGATCATAGGAGTCTTCTCTTCTCAGGAAAGAGTAAGACTGCTATTCAGAGGGAGAGTCTGCAGAGCTCCAAATTACTCGTGGTCTCATCTTGTAGAGTTTTCCTCCTCCCACTTACCTGCTGTGTATTCCGGTGACCTCAGTGAGCACCATTAAATGAAGAGGACTTCTGTCCTGTGAAATCGACTCAAGCATCAGGTGTAGCTTATTTAAAACAAAATGCTTTTTAGATGTTTAATACTACTTGTGTTGTTTCTGGCATGACTAGGAAAGTGTTCTCAAATAAAGGGTATAAAAGTTATTCTTGTGCTGTAGAGCAGCTGCTGCTGCTTTTACTGAGCTTCTCCATGTTTTGAAATCCAGATTATTTCATACATCTCTTATTTTGCCATTGGCTTTAACTCTCTCTTTGGTTCTCAGGCTACATACTGGCACACATCGCCTATTCTGTGAGAACAAGCTATTATTTTGGTAGCTGGTTGTAAGAGTAGACAGGGAAATGAAAATAGGGTAAAGCAGTCATCGCTGCTTCATGTGCGTCATGCTCACTTGCATCCCTTTGTCAGGGGTGTTACACCTGCCCTACACACGTTCTCCCTGCTCACCTTTTCCATTTGTCTACAAAGATGCTTGGCTTGATGGAACAGAATGCAGCAGAAACCTAAGAGGTGAGGGCAAAAGCAGCCTTCTGTAAGCTTCATGAGTGGTGTTTAGAAACCGTTCTTGCTGAAATACCAATGCTAACCTTCCCCTCCTTGTTTCAGTTTTAATCTTTCTAAAACCAAGTTGAAATTTCTGGAAAAAAAACCCACCAAGATTTCGGTGATACAAATGCAGTTTATCGAAGTTTGTGGACTAACAGTGGCAGGAAGGGTAAAGATGTTCTCTGCTTGGGACTGTCTCCCATCCAGATAGAAAAGGACCTTTTGCTTGGACACGATTTGGCATGATCATCCCAAGCTCACAGGCATAAGGGTCGTCTCTGGTCTAGAAGTAGTTTCACCACTTCTGTGCCCAACTTTATAACTGTGGTCAACTTCAGGGACGGTCAGTCTTGGTGTCTCAGCATTGTAGCTCTTGTGTTGGGAGTGATGTGATCTGAGGTTCGGATGCATCCGAGTGGCTCGACAAGAGGTCCTTTTGAGTCTGGTCAGGCATACTAACCACTCAGAGTAGATCCAGGGATGTGCTGTTTCGATAGAATTGAATACCTTCTTGCCAGACTGCTGTCTAAAAGCATGAAGCCAGCTTGCATGCAGTGCTAAGTGAAAGTTAATAAACTCTGTTGGAGACACCATATGAATCAAGTCTTGATTTTGATCATTCCTGATGGCAGTTTTGTTAATTTGGAGTTGTACTGTTTCATCATCAATTGAAGCTAATTTCCAGTATCTCAAATTTGAAAGTTAAACCCAACAGTTCTCTGTACCTCATCCCAACGTTTCCATTTATCAAGGGGGGAAATAAACCCTATGATCCTTAGAAGCTGAACTCTGTTGTCAAGGATCAAGAAGTTGGAGCCAGACCCTTTTTGTAATAGCTAATTTGGTTCTTCTCAAACACAGAAACAGCTAAATGACACTGCTCGAGGGCTGGTAGTATTGCACTCTCAACATCTGGATTAATACTAGGATTTAAATCGTCCCTTTCTGTCAAGAAACTAGTCTGTGTTTCGAGTTGCTGTGACCAGATCATTATTTTTGCTGACTCCTCTGAGACAGGGTTCCAATGGAATTTAAAAATGGGATCAGTGGCAATTCAGATGTCTCTAACTAATGAAGTGCACTGTAGAACTGTTGGCTGCAAGAGTAAGTGTCTGTAATAACGTCTTGTTTAACAGAGCAGACATGTGCTCTTCCGGTAATTCTGAGCACCCGTGTCAGTAACTTACCTAACAGACTTTGTAGATTTGCGTAGGCTGTCTTCATTATAGCACAAAGCAGAGTTTTCACTGGTGGTAGGGATTTTTTTTTGGTTACGTTAGCATTCGTGGTGAATATTCCTGAAAGATGTGCGTATTAGTAACAGCCTCCCACCTAAAGGTCACAGTTCCCAGCTAACTGAGACTACCTTTTGTCACTGACCTGTCTGATCTGAGCCCTATCCAGTGTTCTTGGTGTGACTGTGAATAAAAACTTCCTTTTTTCTGTTTCTTGCATGACTTCAGACCTTGTCAGACAGTGACAACGTTCATTTTGGAAAGACACACTAGAGTCTTGTTGCCAGCACCTTCACCTTCAAAGAATTCCTCAAGCCCTGGTGTAGTTGGCCAGTTCACGATACTCAGCAGTTTGTGCAGGTAGTAATCAGCTGTCTCTCGGTGCTACGCCAAAAATTCATTGGAGCAGTCTTCCATGCACATTGTTTAGTCCATGTGCTGGTGTATCTGCTGTGGTTGAAAAATCTGTAGAAGCAGCTCTTGAGTGCTGTGGAGCTGAGGTCTTACAGATCATTGAATAACACTCACTCACGTGGACATCGTTTGCTTTGAAAGCAGTCATCCGTGGTTCAGAACATGACAGACCAGGTTTCACATTTCCAGAACAGAACATGCATCCTGGAGTCATCCTCAAGGGTTAGTGTAGTGTGAAGCTCATCTTGCAGAGAGGGTCAGTGAGAAGCTGACCTGGAGCAGCTCTCTCTAGTAAAAGAGGAAGCCTAAATAGCTTAAATTGGTCTTTGTGAATGTTACACCCATTCTTGGCCCACTTGTGGCTGCAGACAAACCAGTCAGGAACCATGGACCATGTTGTGAATCTGCGTTTGCTGGGATTATTTGATTTACACTAAGCTGGTTTTGGAGGTGAGTGATAAAATACTCGTGAAAGAAGAGTTAAGTGACTCATGGGAATGTACTTCTCACTTCACTGCCTCCAGGAGTGGAAAGAATTTTAAGGATAATGCATCTCTGAAAACAAAGCCGAGGCGTTGGCAGGTGAGGAGACCACACAAGGCTTTTGATAGGGTTTGTAGTTAGAGATTGGGGATCTTTGCTCTTCCACTAATTAGCTCAATGCCTCTGTCTTATCACACTTATAATGGAGATGATACTTTATTTCCTCTCAAGTCTTTTGAAAGGTTTTGATAAAGAACAAAAATTGATGATTTCCAGAGGAATAAACTCATTTCATCAATAGATTTTTTTTTTCAATAACTGTTTCTAGGCTTTTTGTTCCAATATTTTCTCAATTACCACCTCTTTATACGCTGTTAAAACTCAAATAATTTGTGTATATAAGGAAGACAGTAGTGTTTGTTTCAGGACTCGAGGCACATGCAGACTGAGACTGGGCTTAAATGAACAAGTCATCTAAAGGCAGTGTCAGACAGGCAGACGTTTTTGTTTCAGGCAAATAGAGAGGTCAGGATTGTCATCTACACCTTGTTCCACGTGGGGTTCACAAGTAGGTTTATGGAAGGTAGCGAGAGAGTTGTTAAGGTGACTTTAACCTGTGTGTTAGTACCGTCTGGCAGTAAATCCTCCTGCAAAATATGCTGCAGGGCTCTAGTCATCACGCTGCGTTTGTCTGTAGATGAACTATTAATTGCCTGTTTGTGTACAAGACTGTACAGAGGAAGAAGAAGAGGTAATGGAAGTTTAGGTGCTGTCTTCCCCACAAAACTGGAATTGCGGGATGACGTGGACAGTTCAAGGTCCAGACTGGGGGACTGAGAAGTGTTCTACAGAAGGCCAACTGTTGACTTAATGGATTTTTTTTTTAATAAGAAAGAAGGTATTTTCTGTTTATGTTTATGTGATGACATCTTCAGCAAGCAATTGACAATTGTTAATTTTATAAATAATTTCTACTGTGACCGGGCATGGAAGGGCAGTATGTCATCACATTAATAGTGATTTCAAACTTTTAACTACTTCTGCTTTTAGAAATAACATACAGCACTTAGTGAAAAGCATGTGAGAAAGCTTGTGTGGTAGTGGGTCTAAGTGTGCCCGACATAAGAAATGAGAAAAAAAATGCCACTGAGGTAACACTGGTTTTGGGGTAGAAACAAACTCTCCTTGATATATTCAGATCTTACTTTTCATTCATACTCAATAAGTACACTAACTTTAGTGTATCTTTTGTGTTCATACCTCATTGAGTGATGTTTTAATCTGTTTATTTTTGGAATTTGCATTTGATTTGACTCTTAATGTATGGGAGAAGGGATGATAACAGTGGACTAACTGCCTTTTTCCAATAACTTTTAGGTAACTGGAGGCTCCAGTGGAATTGGAAAATGCATTGCTATTGAATGTTATAAGCAAGGTGCTTTCATAACACTGATTGCAAGGGATGAGGTAAGTGTGTATGTGTTTTTACTGGCTAAACTCTGTTCACAAACACTGTGTAGGTGTGTGGGGGGTAATTTTTGAGTTAACAATTCATAGAATCAGAGAATGATTTGGGTTGGAAAAGACCTCAAAGATCATCTAGTTCCAACCCCCCTGCGGTGGGCAGGGACACCCTCCACTACACCAGGTTGCCCAAAGCCTCATCCAACCTGGCCTTGAACACTTCCAGGGATGGGGCATATACAACTTCTCTGGGCAACCTGTGCCAGTGCTTCACCACCCTCTGAGTGAAAAATTTTTTTCTTATATCCAATCTAAATCTACCCTCTTTCAGTTTAAAGCCATTGCCCCTTGTCCTATCGCAGAAGATGAAGTGAAAAACAGGTAGGTGAGTTGTGGTAGCTTGATGGAGTTGATGTTTTCATCATATATTCATAAATCTGTAAAATTACAATAGTAAAGTGTTATAACTAGTTGAGGATATCTTTTTGGGGTTCTAGGGAATGTTTTTAAGCCCTATTGAAACACTGAAAATGAATATTGCTTTCAGAACTGCAGTGCTTTAGCTGTTCTTGTCTCCATTTCAGAACAAGCTGCTGCAGACAAAGAAGGAAATAGAAAAGTATTCTGTTAATGACAAGCAGGTAAGATTGCTGCTAACAGTGGCTGTTGTGTGTTTTGTTTAAGATAGTCCCTGCAACATAGTTCAGTACTCCTGTCTTCAAAATAAAGCTGTTTGACAAAACTAAGCGAGAGCTCAGTGTTTGGATCCAAAACCACCAGTCTGCTTACATGAGATGTTCTGAGTTTTGCTACATTTGCTGTTGCCTAGCTAGTGCATTTGCCTGCTTTTCTAGAGAAAGATTGATGTCTTCAACTGTAGGTGTAGTACAGTTTTTTTGGATAGCTTCAACCTACTGTCACTCGATAAGCGTTTGTATTCTTCAAGGTGAAGTGTAGGAACTAAATTTTTTTCAAATCTCTCAGTTTTTACAATTCGTAAATACAGCAGTTGTCTTGGGAAACAAGTTGAGATACTTGTTTCCAGGTTTCATTCACTACATCATGCTTGTATGGCTTTTTCTGGCAAAGTACTGTAACAGATGCACAAGCTAAATTTGTGAAGTTTGAGACTTGTAAGCACTGAAGCTGCTTTGGTGAACAGATAGTGCACTTGTGTTTTAGAGCTTGCAGAGGTGCTGGCTTAAAACAGGTAAGCTTGCTATATTCAAAATGTGCAACTTCAAGATGAAGTACTAAAATTATATTTTTGCAGTGCTAATAATCAAAGGGAGGGGGGAAACAGGATTGAGACTGTTGACATCTTGGTGGCTTCTTTTTGTGTTCCAGAACTCTTTTTGTTACTTTCATGATTAGTAATACAAGCAATTTATTTGTCTGTGAATTGATAAATTGGATGTTCTGTTGAAAAGAAGCAATAGAAAAAGCCAAATATTTGAAGGCAATAATGTTAATACTAGCTGATGCAAAACAAGATTTCTTAATTACCTCCATTTATTAGATAAGATTCTGTCTTTGCTTCCTTCTATTTTTGTCAAATGGCTCAAGGTGATTTTTTTTTTCTGTGCATGCTGCCTTACTCAGATCAACTTTATTTGAAAAACTAAGCCATTTGAGGTGAGGAGAAACTACATTTTGCCCATGAAAAAAAAAACCAACCTCCCGATAACCTTTTTCTTTCAGCTGCTCTAGTAGTTTCTCAAGCTTAGCATTGAAGTTAACCCTTTGTCAAACACTATGTCAGGATGTTCTTCTTAAAATCTGTCCAGCTTGATAGATGTTAGGTTTACTAGATGTTGAGCTGAGAGACAAAGATCCTCAGGAAAGATTACTTTTTACATGAGCATATGCTGTCGCTGCTCAGCTCCTGCATATCTACAGGAAACCAGGCTGCACTGACAACTAGGGTCTGGCATCTCTGTACATTTAGTGCTCGACTTGACAAATGTTCTTTTAAAGGCTTTTGCCTGCCATTTGTTTAGAGCGCTGACAGTGCAGCCTTTAAGGATATAGGGGTGCAGTGGAGCAAAATCCTTGCCTTTAGAGGTGTTTTTTTTTCAAAGCTTTTTTTAATCATAGAATCATCTGGTTGGAAGAGACCTTCAAGATCATCAAGTCCAACCATTCGCCCTGCACTATCAGGGTCCCTAAACCACGTTCCTCAACACAAAATCTACACAGTTTTTAAACACCTCCAGGGATGGGGACTCCACCACCTCCCTGGGCAGCCTGTTCCTATACCTCACAACCCTCTCTGTAAAGAAATTTTTCCTGATATCCAACCTAAATTTCCCCTGGTGTAACTTGAGGCCATTCCCTCTCATCCTGTCATTCGTAACGTGGGAGAAGAGACCGACTTCCATCTCCCTACAACTTCCTTTCAGGTAATTGTAGAGAGTGATAAGGTCCCCTCTGAGCCTCCTCTTCTCCAGATTAACCAGTCCCAGCTCCCTCAGCCGCTCCTCATAGGACAAGTTCTCTAAACCCTTCACTAGTTTTGTTGCTCTTCTCTGAACCTGCTCCAGCACCTCAACGTCCTTCTTGAAGTGAGGGGCCCAAAACTGGACGCAGTACTCAAGGTGTGGCCTCCCCAGTGCTGAGTATAGGGGGACAATCACTTCCCTGTTCCTACTGGCCACACTGTTTCTGACACATGCCAGGATTCCTTTGGCTTTCTTGGCTGCTTGGGCACACTGCTGGCTAATCTCTTTCCTAATATAGAGTATTCCCAAATACTTCACTGGGAGTTGAATTGATCTTTTACTGTGAAAGTTTTATTACTGATCCAACACCATGCAATATTTAGAACAAAAGGTGAGGAACAGGGCTGAGGGATATTAGACTGTTTCTGGCAGTATATTCTGTGTCCTAGGCATGCATCTATAGCGCATGCTCTGGAGTGAAGGTAATCAGTATATTTTTTTGTAGCAGAAGAAAGAATGGATGACAATAGAAGCAAAGAGATTAATTGTATAAAGTGAGAGTAGTCAATAAAAGCTGTGGTAGTTCCTGAGTATGTGCTTCACAGAGATAACTAACCTATGCAATCTGATATATTAACTAACTGCTCCAGTTTTGATACAGAACTTTAATTTTTAACCTCCTCACTGATCTTCCAAACACACAAAGATAATAAATCAGTGTTGGTTTTGTTCAATTGCTGTTTTGTTCTCAAACTTACGTAAAAGATAAATATTTCCAAAATGTAATAAACGCCCTAAGGGGAGATACATGCAGACCCACCAATCACTTGTGCCACAAGTTTACTCCATTGTCCAACTGCACACAATGCTGGGAGGCAGGAATAGCCAACCTGCTGCACAGGAATGGCAAGCAGGTCATGTTTCTGCAGCTCTGAAGTGTTGCAGCCTGACCAGAGGCAGAACTGACAAATGGCTAGCTGCCATGGCAGTTGGTACACTGTGGTCAGCTTTTTTTTGTGTGTGCATGTGTGTCCACGTGCTAGACAAGTGGTCACCATGATACTTGTTACAAACTGGTAATGACTGTCTTACTTCACCTCAAACTGAGTTTAAAGGAATTGACCAAAGTAACAGAAAGGATAGAAATTGGAACAGGAATACAGGAGTCCCTCCTTTTATTGTGATGTGAGATTGCTTCCCCGTTCAAGATGATGAATTGCCCCAAAGCTCTGCTGATTGCTCAGCGGAGAGGGTGGCTTATTTGTCAAGACTTGGCCAAGCCAGAGTTTGTAGCCACCTTCCAGTTTGTAAGTGATGACCCGAAGGCAGCGCTTCCTTTGGCCAGAAGTTGATCTGAAGGTGCTTCAAAATATAGGTTCTGAGATCATCTTGCTGAAAGTAATAAGTGACTCTCAAGAAAAGCAGAGCCCAACTTTTAGCTGCAACAAAACTTAGATATCACTGTCATCTGTTTTTTGTCATCCTGCCTGCCTCTTCCCCCCTGGGCCAGTGCTTATTTTCGTTTTTCTGTATCTTTCAAACTAAACCCCATAATCTGTGGTTTCCAGACAAGGAGTAAATGTACACATTACTTCACTTTTTAGATATTTATGATGCTGTGCAACTAGTCAGTTTCTCATAGAATTTTTATTTTAGTTTTGTCCTTGACATGTCCCAATTAAACAGTATGCAACTAAATTTACTACTGTTCCTCAGAATTTATGAAATAAGTGGGTAGCATGCATTTCCAGTGCTAAAGTTAGCAGGTTTTTAACACTTGCTTTATAAATTTTGGAAAAGGCTTTTGCAATGCTGATGCTGCAATTTCAGAGCAACGTTCCGCAACCTTGCAACAACAGCAAAATTGTTTTTCTTCAAGATGAGCTTAAGCCACGTAAACAGTTTGACTTCTGTTTAGTGCTGATGAAAATTAAATGTAGCACTGTGGAATTTTGACTGCCTTAATTAAAATAGCTTTTACTAAACTTTATATAAATAACTTGAGTAATAGTGTGTCTCAGTACAGTACATCAGAAATGATACTTTGCACATGAGTAGCTGCTTTGAAGATCCTGAAGTGCTTATTTGTTCTCAATATAATCTTTATTATAGTAGAATGTGTCTGTGTGTGAGGAGGAGGAACTCAGAGGGAGCAAGGATTTCTTTCACCAGCATGGGTGAAGTGCAAACTGTCCTGTCAAAGACTTGTTGTTTTTCTGGAAAAGATACATCATTGAGTTTTCTTTCTTTTTGAAGGGCTCAGAGTCAACAGTTACTGGACTTGCTGTGTTGTAAAAACGTTCTTTGATCTTCCTTTTCTAGGTCGTACTGTGTATTTCTGTTGACGTATCTAAAGACTACGAACAGGTGGAGAATGTTCTGAAACAGGTGAGGAAGTAACTGATTCACCTGTGTATCTTAAGAAGCATATTGATGCATTATGGAAATAATTTCTTACTATTTCTAATGGAAATAGTTTCTTACGATGATACTGTGCTACAGAGAGTGTTTTTTCCCTGCTGAAGAACATCTTCACCTCTCTGCCCTCTTTCAGGCTCAGGAGAAGCTGGGGCCAGTTGACATGCTTGTAAACTGTGCGGGAACATCAGTTACAGGAAAATTTGAGGATATTGAAATGAATGCTTTTGAAGTGAGTGAGCCTACTTTTTTTATTTTATGTTATTCTTTCTTATTCAACTGTTCTAACAGTTAGATTGCATTCCCGTGTCTTCACAGACTTTGTAGGAATTATGGAATAGTGATACACTTGATTTGTGGTAGCTGTCAGAATTAGGATTCATCTTTAGATTTGCGAGGATTGCCTCTAACTTCTCCCATAACAGCTCATTGATAGGTCAGAACAGGGAATTTTTCCTCTGAGATAGTCCTCAAGATGGCAAAAAAGCCTGGCATGTGTGTTTGTAGCCTCATGCACTGTGAAAGGCACTGAATTTCACATGGTCTCTTTTTTTTCTGGTGAAGATTTTTTTTTTAATATATGAGTATTTTTAACCTGTTTAAGAAAAATCCAGCTGTTATCAGTGTTCAACCTTGAGGTGCACAACTTGTTTGCAGCTTCAGAAGCTGCTGCTCTGATGAAAATACCAAAGAGGGGAGGAAAAAAACCCCAGACTCCTGTATTTTGGTTACTTTATACCCACAGCCCTCTGGCTCCCAGTCATCTACAGATCACATTGAATCATTTGAAAATACTAAATAGGCATAATTTTATAATAAATTTTAGTCATCCATTCTGTTGCTTCTATAGGCTATTGATTGTGTTTTAGGTCTTTTAGAGAGTGGAATTAAAGACTTCCCCTTATCCTGCCAAAGATTCAAATCTCTGAAATGCATAAATACATAGAATTTTTCCTGTTTCCTGCTTTAGTAAGCTCTTTAAACTTTCATTTCAGTATGTTTTCATACATCGTGCATAAATGGATTGCTTCCTGGACTCTGTTTAGGTTAGATTTTCCTTCAAATATTATTCTTTTTTTCCTTGAAGGCCATATGGTTCAGTGTTATCAGTATCCTGAATGCTGTTAAGACTTGCAGATAGACTGGATTTCTTTTGGCTTGTGAGTTTTTTAGCTATAAAACAGTTTATGAACCTCTAGAATAGAAAACAATTGTTATTTCTTTTGCCAGGTGATAAAGCTACAAATCTAGTGAAGGTCATTGTTAAAGCAAACTGAAATAGGGATTTTTTTTTTTTTGCTAAGTCATACCAAACAGCTGAAATATTCTGAATCTGTGGCTCAAACACCATATTGATATCCTTTGTACAGAGATTGATGGCAGTCAATTATCTGGGGAGTGTTTACCCGAGCCGAGCAGTCATCGCCACCATGAAGGAGCGAAGAATGGGAAGGATTGTGTTTGTGTCATCTCAGGCTGGGCAGTTGGGCCTCTTTGGTTACACAGCTTATTCTGCAACGAAGTTTGCTCTTCGAGGCTTGGCTGAAGCCCTGCAAATGGAGGTATGTGTGCAACTATTTAAGTGTTTTCTGTTGTAAACAGAAATATTTTTTGTGACTACAGCACGTTTTCATTTAAATAGTTCTCTTTTTATCTCGTGCAGCACTGCTGATATCTGTGTGCTGTGTTGGCCCTTTTTTTGGCAGCAGTAGAATCCTCTTGCTCTGCATGGGATTGCAGAAACTACGCTGATTTCAGTTGCATAGGAGGGAATAAAATGAATCTGTTCCTAGAACTGAAGATGGCCACACGTGCAGACTTTTTTAATCTTTTATTTTAACTAAAAGGACTTGGATTTTAAGTCTTTTGAGTAAAAGTCTTTTTCAAGGGTCTAAGTGCAGAACGATATTGAAGATCCCATGGATGCATGAGGGGCAGGCCAGTGATTCCCAACTTGTTTGTGAGGCCATGGTAAGTGGTATGTGAACCATATGAAACAGTAAAATTTGCAAGCTAGAATTTGAGGATTGTCCACAAAAAAAAATATTATGTTGACAGTGGTTCACTCTTCTAAATTTTGGTATATATGAGATTTTTATAGTGCAATTGCTAAGCTTATGCTTACGTCAAGACTGAAAAGTGACCAGACACTGTTTTCATTATTCAGTGGAGCACGGTTGGTAGCTACCTCGTAATAAGACAGGTAAAACTTACTTGAAAATTACTTCCCTTATTCTTCTGTCAAGAATGTATATTTTAGTAGTTAAGTGTTTATATGCTAAGTGTCTGTGTTTGGTTCTAGACCCTTGTGTAGTCCCTGTTGTTTTGCTGTTCTGTTCAAGGTAGTTGTATGCCTTGATCAGGGTAAGAACGGGGGTAGAACTACCTCTAATCACTTCTGGCCTGCCAAATAGAACGACGTGACTGCAGGGTCTGTCTTCAGACTTATGACAGATGTGTTTGTGAAGACTGAATTACTCAAAACTAAAAATAGGGCATTTATGGACCTGTGATGGGGTGTTTAAGAAAGTGTTTTCAATATAGAATGTTTCGTAATATAAAGAAAAATGCTTAGCACTTTACAACACTTTGCTTTACCTTAGCCCTCTGAATATTTTCATTAAAAGCTTCTTTATTTGTATTGGAGTACAGATTTGCCTTGTAGTAGTTTCTGAATACTAGTGCAGTAAGTGACATAATTCTGTGACGCATACATAAAAATACAGAACTAATGCAATCCTTGACATGAGACCTTCCATTTTTTTCTCACATTTTCTACTTATTTTTTTGTCTCCTTAGACTTTGACCCCTTGCAAGTTTATACCATGGGTTGAAAAGCCTTGTGACTTGAGTATACCTCTGAAAGATATCAAATTTGAGTTTTACGTTTTTGTTGTTCTTTTCTCATATTTGTCCAGCAGTGAAGATATGTTGACATAAACCAACGACAAAAAAAGCATGCTAATAAGCCTCAGTCAAAGTTTTCTTTTTTTGTCTTGTTTTTATGAGTGCTGGGTACTGGTGTGTGGCAATGGTTTAGTCTTTTTTTTAAAATTGAAATTGGTAAAATGATAGAGCTAAACTACTTTCATATTCCTCCTAAATGTCTTAAAAAATGCTTAGATTAATCAAATAATTTACATTGAATGCAAAGGTTTTAGATATTTTCATTAAACAAAACAACACAACCATCTCTTTAAAATCTTTGCTATTTTGCTTTCTTATTTGACAAAGCTTTGAGCCTTGCAGTTCCTGAATATGAGGGTGACTTAGCGCTAGAAGCAATTTAAATTCATGCTTGCTGTATTTCTTTGGTGCAAGAGCAATTAATGAAGTTATGAGGGACGTGTAAAGGTTGTCAGTATTAAAATGACACTTACTTTTGTATAATACAGGTAAAACCTTATAACGTCTACGTAACGGTGGCTTATCCTCCAGATACTGACACACCTGGCTTTGCGGAAGAAAGTAAAACAAAGGTAAATTGTCCTTTAGGAATATTGTAATGTTTTTAAAGATTGACTTTGTAGTAAGCAGTGCATTTCAAATTTCATTCACTTCTGTAGTACTTGGAAATCAGTGCACATGAAGATTTTAAGAAGTACTTCTAAACACTTTCGTTTTCTCAACTTAACTAGTCAGAGTGAAATAGCTCGTAGAATAATTTTGTGTAGTTAATCGTTTTGGATTTAAATGGCAGAACTACCTACCTTTAATATCTGAAACACTGCAAAGCTTTTCTGTCCACAAGTGAAATATTGCGTGACATGGTAAAACTGTGAAACCACTATTTGTTTTGATATCAAAGCTTAAGGAGCCGAAAGTAAGACTCCTGTTTTGTGCCTTTAATAACGTGCAGTTGTTCTGGTGGATGAAAATAAAGTCAGCACCTTCAGTGAAGTCTGCAAACGAACCTTGCTGTGTGAATACACGCCGTGATACAGTTCAGCAGTGGCTGTTGGCTAGTGTGGAAGCAGGAAGGAAATTCTCTTGGGTTGTGTTTGTGGCATCACTTTTCAGACAGGTGTGTCAGGAGTAGGCCTTTTTCATTTGGCTTACCTTAAAAGTGAAAGTTTTAGTCGCCTCTGGTCATTTGATGTGTCCCTATAATTCCAAAAACTCCATTCAGCCCCCCTGTTCAGAGTGAAGTATCAGTTACTGAGAGAGAAATGCGTCTACTTGTGAACCAGAAACCTGATATCTAAGGAGATCAGGTTTCAGGATGCTCCATCATGTATAATAGGAAATTGGGGTTGAATTCCGTTTTGTCTTTCACCCTTTTTGTAGAAATCAGTAGGGACTGTATAACACAATCCTTACTTCATCATTTCCTGATACAGATATTCTGTATTACCCACACGTGCATGTAAAGAGCAAGAATTAGACATCTGCGGATACTTGTTTAGCTTGCATGTTCTCTGGGATATTTTCTTCATAATGGCCTACTTCAGGAAAATACAGTCACCAGCAAAAGGCACTGTTCGTTGAAGATTTATTTTCCAAAGACAGTGAGCTTAGCATACACGAAGTCTGAGTGGCTTGCTCCTGTGGCGATAGTGCATCTTAAATCTCTGCAATATTGCCTTGCTCTCACAGTTCAGATATTCATTTGTTATTTTTGCATCTATTTAATGCTACTTAGTTTAGAACATCTGTCTCTAGTTGGCATCTCTTCAGGACTAGGCTGTTTTTCTCTGTAATCATGGAATACAGTTAAAGAAGATGCTGGATAACTGCTTAGCAGATGGAGGTAACCGCTTTAGAAACGGCAGCCGTGCTTGGCTTGGCTGACTAGCCAGATCGAGGATTTAATGATTGATTTCTGCCTGCCTTTTTCCCAACATGTCATTAACTTCAGCTCTTGCTCCTGAGCAGCTGCTAATTTTTTTCCCAAACTTATAGTACTGTAATGTTTACAGCCCTGTATCTTTTTCAGATTGGGTTGATACTGACCAGTAAGTTCAAAAATACGTAGGAGCTATGAGACAGAGGTCTGATGACATAAGCCATGTCATTATAGAAAAACATGTGAAAGGTGTTTGTGTGTGATTTCTGCTGGCAAAGACACATTACAAGCTGACTTGCAACCAAGAGTGCTCTGCTCCCAAATTTAGTGCTTTTTTCTTTATCAACAGAACCATTTATCTTAACATGCTGAGCATTTAACTCGCTTGCTGTGCAGTTAGCTCCATTGCTGTTTTATTTTTCAAAAGGAGGCGAATGACAAACGTGCTTCTAAATATTTTAAAGCATAGTTTTTCTGTTTGTTTTTGTAGCAGACCAGACTTGTTTGTTTGTTTTTGTGAAAGAATTTGTGATTGCTAAAAGAACTGCCATTATTGCTTTCTTCTCGTGAGGTAAAGTGGCATAAGTGCTCTAAAGCACGAAGAAAGAAAATGCAGTGATGGATTTTTGGTGGATACCAGTGTGTGGAGTTTGAGAAACTAAAAAAAAAAAAGCATAAATTTGTTTTGTAGGATTTTTAAAATATTTCAGGCCTATCTTTTAATTAATTTCTGACAAAAAGCATAAAACAACACACACAGGTGTTGAGGAGACATAGTTTCAGCATTTTGATAGCCTCTATGGAAAAACAAATATTTGGGGGGAAAAGAACCACTTTTTCATATTTTATTAGTAATAAACTATTAAAAAAAAGTACTATTCAAGGAAAAGTTTGCATTACCTTTTTTTTTTTAAAGAGGATGTTTTAGGTGACAGTGTGATACCACGTGCTAACAGTGCCCCAAAACCAAAATTTGACTTTCATATTTTTCTCTCCTGTGCTTTGCTAGTCAAACTTACATTGGTGTTTTTCTACTAAAGCCCTTAGAGACGAAGCTAATTTCTGAAACCTCATCTGTTTGCCAAGCAGAACAAGTCGCCAGAGTTATAGTCAAAGATGCCATAGTAAGTAAATCATATTTTTAAAGTATGTTCTTCTTTGGAGAGACAAGGATAGTGTGTGATGCTTGTTTAAGGCTGTAAGACAATGGCTAAGCTAAATGCAAGATCAATTTACACAAAACAGTGCTCTTCGGTGGTTAGTTTGAACGGGAAATATTTTCTTCTTTTGCCACTGTGCCCACAAATGATTTTATACAGTCTCTTGGAACTAAAAAGTATCTGAAGTATTGAGACAGAACAAAATGATGCATCAGTATGATGCAATGTCTCCAAGGCAGATTACGACTGACTGTAAAATGCTAAACTCTATTGACTTTTTGTGTATGAAATACTATTTCTCTAACCTCAAAAGCTTGTTGGACTATCTTATTTTTCTGGAAGATGAGTTCATATAAAAATAAGTCTACAATAAATGAAGGCAGTCTAGCCTTTTTGGCTTCTAATTTCTCAAGTATGTGATTTATGAGTGATTAAAATATGTAAAATGCTGCTCTTGATGGTTAAGGGTGTATTGCATATCTGAGGAATTTTTTTTAATGTTTTGTGCTATGGAATGCTTGCATGCTTAATAAAGCACCTCAGAATGGAAACAAACATGAAATTTCATGTTCATAAAGCACAGCAATTGAATCCCAAAATCTAATTATTTCACAGTGCCAAATACTCTGGATCCTTCAGCATGATTTTCATCTACAGCAGGTGTTCAGTTGTGAAGTTTTTACAATATTTTCATGAATACAGCACATAAACACAAAATTATGTCTGTTTTTTGGGGTGGTGAGTTTTAAAAGCACTACCTCAGATAGCTTTGGTGCTTGAGAAAGACTAATCTCCTCTGCAATCTTAAGCATCTGGTATTCCACACCATGCTTTCCAGAACTTTGGATGGTGTATTAGCTCAGATATGGTCTTTATGCACTCAAGCCATCAGCTGAGAGACTAAAATAGAAATTAAAAGGTAGCTCTGTCCTGTAGGAACTCGCAGTCCTCTCAGGCATGCGTTGGGAAATAACAAATCTCGTATCCTCTGCTACTTTGCATAGATTGACTCCTAACCCTGATTCAGGAACACCACCTTCCCTTTCCACTTCAGCATTCCACAGATTTAGTCCTGCAGTGTTTCAAGGGGACTATCATGCATTTTCTCCGTCAGTTAGCATGCTTCGAGAAGAAATTTAGAGCCTTCCTATTTTGTGAAGAAATCCGCGGATTTCTTCACCACACCTCTCTCTAAAGAGAAGTTAGCTTCCTTGTCTATTTTTAAGTGAATGCCCTTTGCTGTAAAGAATCAAAATATTCCAAAATATTTTGTGCTAAATGGTGAGCTTTTTTTTTAGTATAAATATTTTGTTGTTAGCGATACCCATTAGCTATGTTCATCGAGAGCAGCTGTTGAAATGAGGCACATCATGATTTGTCACAACTGGGTAAATGTCTTATTTCTTGTCTTAATTGCTGTTTTCCTTCCTTCCAGCAAGGGAACTTTAACAGCTCAGTTGGATCAGATGGTTACATGCTATCAATATTGACCAGTGGAATGTCACCAGTCACTTCTATTACTGAAGGTCTTCAGCAGGTAAGGTTTGGGAAAGCCCCGTAGTCAGTTTCTTCTAGTTTAAAATACTTTAGAACATTGTGCAAACATTGATTATTTTTTCATCAAATGGCTGTTAATACTGTGGAGACTTGGGTTTAGGAAACTGAAGGAGTATTTTCCAGCTGAAGCAGCAAGTTGGCAGGAAAGCTGAGATTGCTACCTTCTGCTCAGTCCTGAGCTGTTACATAGTTATGATGGTTTTCATGAGTTTGTTTCCTTGACATTATATAGCATACCTGCTTGGAACTTTTTTTTATTTCATAAAAACGCTTTTATTTCATAACACACTGCAATCTGGGATCTTAAATGAATTGAAAGATGTTTCTCTCTGTTTCCAGGTTGTTTGCATGGGCATTTTTCGCATCGTTGGCCTATTTTACCTAGGAAGTTTTGACAGCATAGTTCGTCGCTGCATGATGCAAAGGGAAAAATCTGAAAGTGCAGATAAAACTGAGTAATCTTTACTTTGAACTGAAAGAAGAATGTCAAACAGTCCTGGACAGCTTGCTGCTCAAGTGGGGACTCAGTTTTTTCTCCTGAAGGATTTAGACTGGAAGTACTTGGCGTATGTGACAGATGAGTCCCCTTAAAAGCTATGAAAGAAAACAAAAGTACAACTCCAGAACGTGCCAAACTATGCAAAGGTGTGAATGAGGATTAGATGGGGGTTTTTTTGGTGGTTTGAGTTGGAGAGAATTTAGGGAATTTGTAAGTGATGTGCAGAGTCGAGTTGGAGAATGGACTACGTGTGGTAATTCTGGACAAATGCTTAAGTTTTCTCACTTTGGTGCTTATGGACAGAACAAGTACCGTGACAGACTGGGCTGAAGTAGATTGAAGTCCCCTGAACAAGTTGGTACCTTTCGCTAACTTTTTGGGACTGTTCTTAATTTAGAATGTTAACTTTTTCCTTTGGCCAAACTACAGATCCTTCTGTCAATGACAGCTTTCCTTACTCTGTCCAACGTGCAACTGTGGAAGCCTTAAGATGGCAGATACATTTGTATGATCCGAGCTTTCTCAGTCTGGGAGTAATTAAAAAGTATCATTTAATATGTGCATACTTTCTAAAGGGAGATGAAGAACCCATTCCCACAGAGAAATGCTAGGAGATGTGACCAGGTCTGTAGCTCTTCTGGCCTTTGAAGTATGTTGTGAACAAAAAAAAAAAAAAAATCAAAGCAGTATCCAAGTGTGTTGATTGTGACTTTCAGCATTTTAAGCCATCAAAATAACGTACGATTTTTACAGATACTTTTCCTTATTTGCCAGTTTTTGCTCTGGAAAGGAAAGTAGCTTAATGCTACTGTTGATGCACGTTATTTTTCAAAGCTGCAAATGATGAGCCAAACCGGTAGTTGATGATGA